TGACTTTGCGTGTGTTTGAACAAGGGCCCCTGGGAGATGCTCTGATGTGTTCGATTTTGTTGGGTCCTGAGTAGAGGGTGGCAGCTGGCTTTCCAGGCAGCAGTGCAGAGAATCCATCTCTGGCTGGGGCAGCTCCCGAGATGGAAGAGAAGGGAGACCTGGATGAACCTGGCCTGGGAAATACCTGCTGTGGCACACCTTACTCTGGAAGCTGGGGCTGCATTGTCTAAGTCCATCAAAGAAAGATAGTTGAAAAACTTGAACATGGAAGGATGACATGTAACAGTTCTGAAAAGAATCAAAGTGAAACAGTTAAAATACCCAAAGGGACACCCTGAAATGGGTCATTGCTGCTCTTGATCAGCAGATGTCCGAGAGTCAGAGAACTTGCTTATAAATACAGCTTCTGTCTCTGGTGAATGGTGAGGTCCAGGGCAGGCCTGGCCTTTCTGAGCCTCAGTGACTACATCAGCAAAATGGGGATAACGCCAGTCAGCGGGCTTGCTGTGAGTATTCCTTGAGCCTCAATGGCCCGGGGGGCTTACACACGTTATGGTGTCCCTTTCTGTCACTCCCCAAGTGCCTCGTGCTGGCAGGCCTCATGGTTATACTGGGCTCATGGCAGTAAGCCCCCAGGCTACCTTTCGTTCAGATCTTCTGGAATTTGGAGCCACCTGAATGTCCAGTGCATGAGAGCATTCATGGCTTTAGTCTGGGTGTCGTGCTCTTGGTTCTGGGTTGCAGTTCTCAGTCTTCTGATCACGGGTGCTTTGCAAGAGGGGATGAAGACCAGCGTGCCACCAGAAGCAGCATGGCCGTGTCTTCCCAGCAAGTGCCAGCAAGTGCATCCTGGGCATCTGTCTCCTGGAACCCAAAACCTGTGTTCGACAGACCCTGTCCACGAGACCTAATGGCAGCTTTACTGCGAGAGCCAAGCCTGTGAGCACCAGGTGCCCTTCAGTGAGATCCTCTGCAACACCCATGCCATGACACACTTCTCAGCAACAGAAGGAGCTAACTGCTGACTGTGCTGCTGCCCGGATGGGTCTTGGGAAGCCTGTGGAGGGCGAGGAGCCAGCCTCGAGAGCTGGGAGCTGTAGGGTTCCGCGTATTTCATGTTCCCGAGATGTTGCAGCAGTGGGGACGGGAACAGATGAACAGCTGCTAGTGGGCGGGGATGGGGGGGCGGCTGGCGGGTGCTCCTAGGAGGGCATGGGAGAGCTCTGCCTTTGGTTGTGGTGGTTGCACTGACCCGTGCTTGGGACCAGACTTCAGAGTCATCCACACGTGAACACACATGTGCACACACGTGCAGAAATGGGTCTCACCTACAGTGTCATCCCACTGTCCCTTTCCTTCTTTTCCTGTGGTGCCACGGAGCCCATGGGATTAGTCACCACTGGGGGAAGTGGGTGAAGGCTCACAGGATGCTACTGTTTTTATAGCTTCCCATGACTCTAGAATGTTTTAAAGACACACAAGTCCAGGGTCAGGTAGAGAAGCATGATCAGGTGGATGGATATGTGTGTCTGTCTGTGTGTGTGTGTGTGTGTGTGTGTGTGTGTGTGTGTGAGCCCCCTGAGGAGGGGTATGGCAAGGGTCTGGTTCACAGCTATGGGGTCATCAAGCAGGTGTGAGGTCAGGAGGGGAGGGTCGAGCAGGCTGGCTGGCACTGGGGCTGCCTGGTCTCTAAGCGCAGGGCAATCCCAACCTTTTAAAGGGCCCCCAAGAATGTGTCGACAGTGTGTCTTTCCTGGGTCCCCTCTGATGAACCCCCTGTCAGCAGCAGGTAACTCAGGGCTGGTGGAATCAGGGTGGTGGCTCAGCCCAGGCTAGTGCATGCCTTGGGAGGCTGTCCACAGTCACAGGTGGAACCCAAGACCTAGAGGGATGCCTGGGAAATGTGGCATGCTTGGGAAGCCCAGGTGGTACAGGTGGTAAGCCTCTTCATAGTCTCCCGCCCAGCTGCTTGAAAATCCTTCCCGGACACACCTCCACGCGCACATGTACACAGCTACACTCACTTCTGTTTTTGCCATTTAATATTGTTGTGGCCATTTTTCCACGTAAGCTCTTAGATAACTACTTTATTCTTAATGTGATAGGAATGTTGGTGATTTTTGAACAATTAAGCTTCCTTTTGTACAGTCTGAGGTTGATACAAGTTTTACAACTGAGCTGTGTGGTTTCTGGCATAGGGTGATACCGATGTCTAACCCTGGAGTTGCCGTTTCTCCTCTGCTTCTGTCGACTTGCCTTTACACACGGGTTTATTGTTCCCTGAAGTGTTTCCATTATAACAGCGCTGTCCACTGCAAATGTCTCATACACAGGCCTCTGACAGCAAGTCTTCCCTCTGTCCCCTGCGTCTGCACTACTGTTTCCATGTCATTCCCTGACACACTCCACCTGCCAGCCAGGCCCCATGTACCTTTGCAGCAGAAGCAGGGGTGTCATCTGGAGCTGAGGAGGTGTGTGCTGTGACCACGGGCTCTCTTCTGGTTGCATCCCTGTTGCATGATCAGTGGCACACGAGCCAACAGACAGTGTGACTGCCCGCTTGTGGCCCTTGCATAGCAAGGAAGTGCTGGGGGTGTGTTTGGAGGGTTGGCTGGACTTGAGTCAGTTCCTGAACCTCTGGGAGTTGTGACTTGTCCTTCTGTAAGGTGGGATTCAGTGTTGGTTTTATTTCTGTGTTTGACTTTGGTCGTTGTATGTACTGACAAGTCGTGAGGGGACATGTGGGTGGGGGAGGGGCCGTCAGCTCCTCCATTTACACGCCAGAAGTCTTGGTGGGCCATGCTCAGAAATTCTTCTGATGATCTGGGAGCCAGGAACCAGGTCTACCATCAGTTTTATCAGAAGCAGGGGATTGTACACCAACTCCTTTCCCAGAGGGGTCTTGTGCCAGCAAGGCCTTCATTTGTCCTGCGTTTGCTCCTGGGTTTCCTGTCCTGGTGGACAGCTTGCCTTAGTGTGCTTGGAGTCAGAGGGCTTATATTTTTATTTTTAAAAATGGGCGTAGGGCTTTGTGAAAGGGAACAGATGCATAGAGGTACTCTCTCAAGGAGAATCATTTTTGGGCAGTGGTACATTCTGGAAGGTGAGGATTTGGAAATGGAGTGAGTTTCTGAGGTCTGCCTACCTCTGTGGGGGGAGGGGCAAGAGGTGGCCTGGGGCGTGTTTTGTCCACCTGGAAGCTGGCTCCCTCAGGACATGTCTTCCTCTGATAAGCATCTTCAGGGAAAAGGTGTTTGCCACATGACTTTCAGATGGTGGCATGAGGGAGTTCTCTCTGTTGAAATTTCTTCTCGGACCTTTATTATTTATTTGTTTATTTATTTTTTTGAGTCAGAGTCTCACTCTGTCGCCCAGGCTGGAGGGCAGTGGCATGCTCATGGACACCGCAGCCTTGACCTACTGGGCTCTGGCAGTCCTTCCAAGTATCTGGAACTACAGGAGTGCACCACCACGCCCCGCTAATTTTTGATTTATTGTAGAGATGAGGTCTCGCCAAGTTGCCCGGGCTGGTCTTGAGCCCACAGGCTCAGACAGTCTTCTCACCTTGGCCTCCCAAAGTGCTGGGATTATAGGAGTGAACTGCTACACCTGGCCTCTTCTCAGACCTTTAATGTGTTAACATAGGGAACTGTTTTTTACTCAACAGCATTGTCCTTATTTAGTTGCTCATGGAAAGGGAGAGAGCAGGAGCGGGGCAGAGGGGACGGGAGTGGGGGAAAGACTGGGGCGGGGGGGGGGGGG